GTGTTGTCAGTAACTTAACCTCACTTTTTCGGCAGGTCTATTCCGGTAACGCACTTTAAAGTACCAGAAACGGTACTAATTATTTACTACTTTTAATCCGTTGGTGCATACTATTTCAAATTAAATGTAGACAAATGTATAATTACAGGCTTATAAGCCTGAATTGCCTGAATATATGTTTGTATCGGCAGCTCCACACAGCTTGGACATATATTTATTGTAACTTTAAAAAAGTAAAAGCCGTGAAATAAGGCAATTTCCTATAAGACTGTAAATTATTTTCTAAATAGATTAAAACACATAAATATCGATAATATAAGCGAATTCTTAATTTAAGCATGCAGCCACCCTATTCTAGTGCATCAGTAGTTCATTTGGCTCAATATTATGACGACGCTGCAAATGTTATTTAATATAAAAAATCGCCTTTACATACGGTTTTTGTGAACGTTTTTTCCATTGATAACCACGATATCTTTTATTTTTCTACTTTTTGAGGACAAAAATTATACAAATCCAGCAATTTTAAATATTAATATTGTTCTGAAAATTCCAAGTTCTTTAAAAATCACGATAAAACAAATTACTAAAATGGAGTATTTTAGATACTATTCCCAACGAATAGTAGTATAAAAGTTAAGATCGGCAGCACTGAAAATAAGCATGCCGATCTTGTCAAAATCACAACAAACACGACGCTACTGACAACTCCTTCTTATTATTCCACCATGCCTGTAATTATTGTACCATGGGCTACCACCTTATATGAGTTCGCCTTGAAATAAATTGTCAAATAAAAAAATAAAAATATTAAAAAATTGCAAGTTAACTTTATTTTATTCAATATTTTTTTTCTTTTAATTTGCAGTAAAAATATCAAACAAACACAAAATTCGCAAATGGTCTAAACAGCGGCAACATATTTCGGATAAGCGTAAATCAAAAAATTAACAAAAAACAAAAAAAAAAACAAGACAGTCATTTCACAAGTCAAATATGATAAATCTCTAAAATAATCTCTACCGATCTCTCCAAGCAAGTGATGAGCTAAATTAAATGCATTCCCGCACAGCACACCATTGAAAGCCTCATCATTGCAAGTACGCGCACATACATACATACAAACACTTACCAAAAGCCCATCCAAAAATCGATGTCTTGCAAAAAACGGCAGCAACAAAAACCACTATTATCATATCATCAATACCACAGCGACAAAAGTGTTGCCGTCAGACAAAAAGCTTGCAACAAAGATCGCGGTGGGCGAGCGCACACAATCAACCATTACCGGCAAAGATAGTGATCATCAAAAGTCGTATTATAATCGTTTAAATTTAAGTTTTCCATACCAAAGATGGCGCACAATCATAGAGACAGAGATATTCACAACTACAACCAAAACCATAATCGCAACGTTGAAAATCTTAATCAAAATCCAGCAGCACGCGGCGCACCTGAATATTTCGAAAATCTCTTCTTGAATGGAAATTTCGCAGCCAATGAAGATGAGGAAATGCTGGATGTAGCCGCGGCGGCGGCGGCATTGGCACAGCACAACAACAACTTAGCCAATAACGCCAATGATGAACCCTACTGTTGGGTATTTGGTTATGGTTCGCTATGCTGGTATCCCGGCTTCGAATATTCCAAATGCATAACGGGCTATATAAAGGGTTTCGTGCGGCGTTTCTGGCAGGGTAACACCACACATCGTGGCACTGAAGATAAGGTGAGCGTATAAAAGATGTATGCAAAATATATCGATATCTATTAAGTGCTTTTTTAGGAGTTAGTGTGACGACCAAAACCGTCAAAAATACACACCCATTCGCAATTTTCTTACCAAAGTAAACCCAACTTTTCAGCTACTTATGTACATATGTATGTTGGTAAGGTCGATTCTACGAATGACTTGTTTGTATTTACATTAGGGTGTCTCACCGAAAAATGGCCGGTTTTCCACCGGAAATATAAATTTTATTACATATATTTAAAAACTTCCGCCAAAATATTTCGAAAAATGGAGACATACAGATTTACGCCGCAAAATGGATTTTTATGAGAAGCTTTTTCATGGCAGAAATACATTCGGAGGTTTGTCATTTCTTGCCGTTTTCTAATTAAGACCTTTCCCGGACCAGAGAGCGCACCCAGGCCCTACAGAGTGGTAGTACATACCTCTAACCACTCAGCCACATATGTAATTAGATTTTCGGAGATACATACATATTTTCAAATCGGTTCAGCTTATGTATTTAAGCTTTAATATTTTTTACGAAATTTTATGACCAAAGTCTTAAAATATAAATTTTATAATAACAATGAAGAACAGTTCCAAATTGATGGAGAATGATGCACCCTAATGTGGTAAAAAAAGTAAATTTGGAATTTTAATGTCCTCACGCCCTAGTGTGGTTCTATAAAGAAAAAATGATTCCGCTGTTTTTTTATTTTGAAATCAAATAAGATTTACAGGTCACTCAAAGTTTTCCACGTATTTTATGCAAATGGGGAAAAAAACAAGCTTTCGTTGAAATGGTATAGAATTCTTGAAAATCAATATGTATTTCTCTTCAGAAGGCTTTCTTTAATAATATCCAACTGTTTATTTAACCATTTTCTATTATAAACTTTTTTATAGGTCCCCTAAAAACCTCAAAAACGCATAAGAAAGCTATAGTATTAAAAAATGGTAAAATAAACAATTTGGTATTATTATTGGCAGTATCTTGAAGAGCAGCAAAGTTTTCGGATCGAAAAAATATTAATTTTCAAAGATTCTATACTAATCCTACGAAAACATGATTTTTTCCCATATAAAATAAATGGAACACTTAAAGAGACCGCAAAATATCTTTGATTTCAAAATAAAAGAGGCACTTAATTTTTTCTGCATAGAACAATCCTAGGGTTCCCACTTTACTTTTTCACATGCATTTTTAGACCACCCTAACATACATACAAATGTACATGTAATTATGTGCATTTGTATGCAAAAATAATAATTTGAAATTCATAAGTTTTATCTAATAGAAATGCCATTAATATAAATTTAGTATATCAAGTAAATGCGCTAATTGCTTACTTACATTTAATTACCACCGCTATCTTACAATTTTCAAGTGGTGCTTCAATAAAACTGCACAAATCAGTTACCCAAAGGGTAAGCAGTATTATAAAAATCGGAAATAATTATAACCACTTACCAAGTAATGTTTATTGAAGGCACTACATATATATAAAATCGTTTTAACACTATCAGTTTGTGATAAAGCTAATTGAAGCAAAAACTCTAATTACTAAAATATTTTCGCATACATACTTATATCTAGGTGTATACATAGATACAATAAAATAAGTGCTAATTTGGCTAAGTTAGATCTTGAGGCCCGATTTTTTTTTTTTTATAAGCTAAAAAAATATTATCCGTAGTAGATGGTAGAGAGGAGATGGTAGGGTCTGTAACATCCTGGATTTTGCTCCTTTTGATATTTTAAAAATCCTAAAGATTACAGATTTTATTTTCAAGGCAAGTGTTACATACATGAGTTACATACATACATAGCAAAGTAAAAAAAAAAAATTAAATTTATTTTTCTAGATCTCGATCACCTTGGGCCACCGTTAAAAAAACTCAAATCTTAAAAAACCTTCTGTCGTCTTAAAATTTTTGTAGCACAAATTAATGGTCCTTTAGAAAGAAGTCTCGCTTTCCTAAATCGAAAGCTTAACCATACTTCAGTGAAACACTAACCGCGGCGTTTGTTGAAACTAAAGAGCGGCCGTAAAATGAATGTTTTCTTAACAAAAATGTTTTAAATAAATTTGTCTAAGGCCCCTATTGCGAGTGTCGACTGGCAGTAGAATAGAAATTTGTCGATCGAGTCGATCATCTTTTATTTTGCTATTGTGTAACTTGATCGATAAAAATGTGTACTATTGTGAATGGTTGACAGAATTGTAAACAGCTGTTTGTTTGTTTACATTTGTTTCTTGAGTGTTTTATTTACATCATTTTTAAAATAATTGCTTTTATTATAAAATTAAAAAAATGGACACAGTTGAAATATGGCTTAGTGAAGAGGAAGATGATGCGGAAGCTAATAGATTAGTAGAGTTA